GACAGAGAGAGAGAGAGAGGGAGTGAGAGACAGAGAGAGAGCGAGAGCGAGAGCGAGAGCGAGAGAGAGAGAAAGAGAGAGAGAGAGAGAGAGGGAGAGAGAGGGAGAGAGAGCGAGACAGGTACGGAAATCCAGGACTCGATAGTTCGATACTTTGGTCTTCGACGTGACGTTTTGGATTTTGCTGGCGAATATTTGCCGTTGTTTGAGCTCATAAGCACCCGGACTTGGAAGATCGGTCGCACCATAAGAGACTGAAGCCCTCACAAGATAAGGTCCGATTTCGGGTTCATGGCCTTAAAAAAAAAGTCGGGATCGCTTCTCAGAGTTTAGCGTTTAGGGCTTTGGGGTTAGGGGTTTAGTTTTTTCTTCTGCGCTGTTCAATGCTGGCCTGGGGATAAGGTTTAGGAACTCTTTTCTGAGGGCTTGGTGCTTTGGTGTAGTTTCGGACAGGATGGTCGGAGAGACACCACAAGGCAACTGGGCGACGACACTCTAACAACCTATTCTTGGGGCGTGGGGCTTGTCAGTGTTGGCTTGGCCCTGACGATGACTTGGTGGTTCAGAGTTGCAGTTGCTAAATTCCGGGAGTTACAGGCTGGATCTATGATGGGTTTAGGATTTTAGGGGAGTCTAAGTAAGAAGACGTCGCAGCGGTGGTCTGGTCACGCTTAGCCTCCGAAGACAGAAGGTTGAGACATCGGGTCATGCAGGAGCAACAAAATTCTGCAGCCGCCACCCTTCAAATTTCAGCCTGCGAAGCGAGCACCGATGTTGCGTTTTGGCGTTCATCCCAAGCACTCAAACCCGTAGAAAATTGAACTCCAAAATCCTCCAACGCACGGAGATTGCACAACCTGGCTCCTGAACTGTAGTTTCGGGTAGAAGCCTCAACCCCAAACCCCAGGCTGACCCCTCAAACCCCAAACCCCAACTGGAAACTCTTGAAGTAAATCCGCAGGCCCCGAGACCCTTCCTCAATCCCCAAAGCTCCAAGCCCCGGCCCCAAATCAAAAAACAAACCTAAACCGTGTAGAAATATTGTAGATCCCTGAAAGGAATTCTGTGTTTAGGGTTGAGGGTTAGCAAACAGCCTGGGTTCAAAAAATGGTTTTTAAGAATTCCTAAACCCCGCAAACCCTACAAATCTGAACCACTGGTCCACACGGGTAGCCCAGGTGAGGAACCATAAGGCCGACTCTGCATGGGCTCGTAGGGCTTCAGGTTGAGGGTCATTGGGTAGGGCTTCAGGTATAGGGTCATAGGAGGTAGGATGTCCCAGGAGAGAAAGAGCTTAGTTCTTCGGCCATTCTTCAGTCTGAAAGCAGTTTAGGTCCTAAACCCTAAACCCCTAAACCCCTAAACCCTAAACCCTAAGGGTTTAGGGTTTAGGAGTCAGGTCCTCGAAGGTGGCGATTTCCCAAGAGTTTAAAGAGTTTTGGGTTTAGGGCCCTCTAGACTCTAGACCTTAAAGCCCTTATAGAGTTGGTTTCCTACGGCTTGATGCTGGGTCTCTGGGTTAAGGGCAAGTTTTTGGCTTCCGGGTTTTGGGGTTTACGCAGCTCAGTATTCTAAGCTTTTGATATTTGCGGCTCAGAGCATGGGATATGTAGAATCGCCAAAATGGGTAGCTGCTTGAAAAGATGAAAAAGGCTTTTTCTAAGAGTCCATGTAATATACGATGCTATTTAGAGGTTCCTTATTATAGTTAGACTATAAAGGGGCTCAAAACCCTATTCTAATTATTAAGGCCCCTATATTACCGAAATAGTGTATACTTTTGCCAAGAAATTAGTCCCTATTTGGGTACTTTGGGGTCAACGTATACACTGGTTGGGCGCAGGGACCCTGAAGGAGGGAGACAGAGATAGGGAGAGGAACGGGGAGCGTGCGGGCGATGTTCTCTTTCTATACCCATAGTCGATCTCGATCTCTATGCCTGTCTCTATCTCCATCTCCATCTCTATCGTTCGGCCGGAGTGCACCCCAGGCCATCCACTCACTCAATCTCAATCTCATCTCTATGTATATATATATATACATATATATATATATATGTCCTGCCCTGGGAGTACTCCTCAGCACTGTCGTGGCTTCATATAGCCCTGCTTTGGACTTACCTGTAACCGAAAAGACCTGCCTCTTTAAGGATATATATATATATATATATACAAACTATAATAAGGAGCCCTTCTATGGTAGGACTTTTCGGCTACAGGTAGGGTTTACGACTTGGCGCAACAACCTCCCCAAGAACACGTCTCTTTTCTGGCTTTTCCAGCAAAACAACATCAAGGGGATCGTCCATGCATGCCAACCGCTGTGCTTGGAGGGCTGCCACAGCCTTCCAAGACCCAACCCCCAACAACTTTCTGATGTCGACTTCCATAGCTACACAAAATTTATTGTTCAGGCCCCATGTAGAGGCTTGTAGTCCAGAACTCGATGCTCCTACTTACAGTAAAGGGCTGGATGTTGGCAGTTTTCCGTTGTGGAGTTCAGCACTGAATCTTTAAGTACTAGGTCAAGCCCAGCTTCTGATTGGGCTTGTCCGAGCTGTGAGAGCATAAATGCTATGTCAGTTTGGCCGAGGCAATACACTAATTACCCATACTATTTTGGGAGTTCCTTACTATAAGTATAGCATAAAGGGCCCCAAAACCCTATTCAAATTATTAAGGCCCCTACATTACTTCAATATTTGCGTGTTTCACTTGCAGAGTCGCCGTCGAAGGCCCCATCGCACGGGGCGGCCCCAGCAGCCCAAACCCTCGAACCCCCTGGAAGGTAAGGTAAGGGCCTTCGTATATTTATAATCAGGAACCCCCAAATAGTATAGGTAAATCTTTAGGCCCCTACATTAACTGCAGGCCTTCGTACAATGCCCGGTTGGCACCAGTTTCCACTTCCTCTTCGCTTACAATCATCCAAGCGAAGGTCTTGTTCTCCTCGTAACCCCTATAAACCCTAAACCCCTAAAGCCCGAAAAGGCCGGTTTCTATTACCACATCTCCTTAGCCGGGATCACGGATTTGGGTCTGGCCCCGGCCTCAGAAAGGAATTACCTATAGTCTCTACCGTCTCCATTGGTTTAGGGTTTATAAGGTTTAGGGCTTTAGGGGTTTAGGGCTTGGGGTTTGTAGTTTTTGATTGATCAATGTATGGTTAGGATCCTATAATCTACATTTGCTTAACCAACGAAACCAACTACAATGGAGACTACAGGTAGTTCACGGGGTTAAGGGGGTTTAGGATTTTGGGAAGGCAGGCTGAAGGCTGAAGGGGGAAGAGAGGTTTTGGGGTTTTGAGCTTTGGGTTTAGGGGTTTAGGGTTTTTGAGTTTTGGGTTTAGAGTTTTTGAGTTTTGGGTTGGGGGGTGCGGGGTTTAGGTTTAGGGCTTGGTAAGGGGCGAGCGCGGTTTGAAGTAGCAGATCAAGAATGCCCCCGCAGATTCAAGGGACTTGGAGCTCAAATGCCCGGAAGTCGCAGGCCGCAAAGCACACCGTACATGGGCTTCCTATCGGTCCTATCATCTGCAACGCCGTCGGTTAAGTACAATCATCCCGTTTCAGGGTCTAGGGCCCCTGCTATAGGGGCCTTAATAATTAGAATAGGGTTTGGGGGGGTATATTCTACCATAATCATAATAAGGAACCCCCAAAACCCTATTCTACTTATTAAGGCCCCTACATTAGGGTTTCAGGGTTTACGGTTAGCCTTCAGCTCGGCTTGAGAAATCCGCCCTTTCCCCAAGAGTCGGTCGTAAATTGAGCAGTCTTTCATCCCAAAGAACCCAATACCCCTTAAATAAGGAATGTACCCCATAAATCATAATACTAAGGCCCCTAGAATTCAGGGCATATTCCTTAATTAAGGGGTATTGGGCTCTCTGGGATCATCCCGTAAAGTCAAGCGGAGATCTTCCCCGTGGTCACACCTGCAGACAACGAAGAATGTGCCAAGCAGGGTGCGTAGTCGGCTTAAGGCTGCGGGTTTAGGGCGGCACAAGAAACACGAGAAGGTGGTGTGCATGTTCATCACCCTGATCTGGCGCACGGAAGCTTTGCTGACCAATGGTTTCAGAATTCAAGCTGTAAGTCCGGTAAATGCCACAGCAAGGCCCCGAACCATTGCTGCTATGCTCTCTTCTAATCAGCTCGAGGGGTACTAGCTTGCCTAAGAAATAGAACGCATCGAGTTGAGCCTAAAACCTAAACCCTGAAGCCCGAAAGGGGAACGTCGCAGAGCTTAGCAGCTTCCCTTGTCTAACGGCCCTTGGCCTTGTATGTTGCGTCATAGACTCACCAGTCGCTGCATGTCAACCCTGACAGGCACCCTTAAAGTTTTATGATTCAGGGTTTGGGATCTAGCTTGGATCACTTACGTGCCCTGAACTGAATGCTTTTCGTTTTGGAGTCACCAGTATGGTGTCACCAAGAAGACGGGCACGACAGTAATAGATGGTGGTGTTTGCAAAACCCTGATCCCGAATTCCCAAATCTGGAAAACACACGCTGAAAGACGTGCTGCATAGACAACATAGCAGGATCCCGGTGTGAATCCTTCCGAGCACATGAGGAGGCGCTCCCACCAATGAACTCTGAACCCTACACCCATCGTCCTAACTTCATAAGCATAAGGGTCCATGTGCCCAAACAGCATATTAGTATATGCTGCTGTAAGGACACAGTATATACTATCTGGGCACATGGACCCTTCGGGTAAGCCCTGCTAGCCCTACGACCTCTGAAATCGGACCTGGTCGGCCAGCCTCACGACCACCAGCGGGCCGGATAGACACACAAACGTGCTCTCCGGTCTTCGGAGGTAAAGTGTTTCGGGGGCGTTTTGAAAGGCCTGGATGCAAAAGGGGGGGTTGACACATTGGCTGCGACAAATTGGTGCTCGGAGAAGCTTTGTCGGTGCATTCGGAGGCCGGAGGCCTTCCCTGTCTGCTATTGGTGCGAATACAAGCTGTGTTGATCTCTTCTTTCGTCGTGTGATCTGTCCTCTAAGACTCTAAGCTGTCCTCTTGCTTTGTCTTCTTCTTGTGTCCTGCTCTCTGGCTTTGTACTGGCGGAGGAGGTTCTCGCAGTTTCTCGTCGACATCTGTCCTGAAAAACTGGAAGCCCAACTGAAGGTGGGCGACAGTGGCAACGACCAAAAACGACACCACCACCACCACCACCACCACCACCACCAACACCAACAACAGCAACAGCAACAGCAACAACAACAACAACTACAACTACAACTACAACTACAACTATACAACTACAACTACAACTACAACTACAACTACAACAACAACTACTACTACTACTACAACTACTACTACAACAACAACAACAACAACAACAACTACTACTACTACTACTACTACTACTGCTACTACTACTCGTACTACTACTGCTACTACTACTACTACCACTACTACTACTACGACGACGACGACTACTACATTAGCAGCAACAGCAACAACAGCAACAACAACAACAACACCGGCAACAGCAACAGCAACAGCAACACCAGCAACAGCAACAGCAGCAGCAGCAGCAGCAGCAACAACAACAACAGCAGCAGCAGCAACAGCAACAACAACAACAACAGCAACAGCGACAGCGACAGCAACAGCGACAGCAACAGCTACAGCAACAGGAACAGCAACAGCGACAGCGACAGCAACAGCGACAGCAGCAGCAACAACAACAGCACCAAGAAGCTAGTAGTAGTAGTAGTAGTAGTAGTAGTAGTAGTATGTACTGCTGCTGCTGCTGCTACTCCTACTACTACTACTACTACTACTACTACTACTACTACTACCGCGACTGCAGTTGCAACGGCAACCGCAACGCAACTGCAGCAGCAGCAGCAGCAGCAGCAGCGGCAGCGACAGCGGCAGCGGCAACAGCAGCAACAACAGCGACAGCAGCAACAACAACAGGAGGTGCCACTGCCTTGAGAGCAGAAGCCAGGCCACGACACCCGCTCAGAAGTACCAGTCTGGCAGGATGTTCCTCTTTGCCGACTTCCGAAAGGGTCTCGAGCCAACCCCAAAAAACCCAAATCATCAGTTTTGCCTCAATCCTACTTGTCATTCAAATCACAAGCATGGTATACATCAACCCTAGACCACTTCTTAAAACCCCAGTCCCCTGCAGCCCTAACCCCGAAGACCCTCAACAAAACAATGCCTAAACCCTAAACCTAAACCCTACTCCCTGAATCCTACCCTGAACCTCGCCTGGATTTTCCGTTTTGCCAGAGTCTGAAGCCTACCCTAAACCATCCTAAACCATCTCCTAAACCCTACCACCAGCCGAGGTAGAGTTCCAGAGCTTATCAACCGCGAGCTACCTCGCAAGAGCGGATGACACTCAAAGAACGCATGGGTTTATCTCTTTCCGCCTCTTGGCCCTTTGTAGGATTTAAGATTTCTTTCTTTCCGCGTCTTGCCCAGACTGTTGAAGGCGTCTGGATGCAAAGATTCGGGTTTCGGGGATTCGGACAAAGGGTAGGTTAGAGAGTATAGAGGTTCCATTTCTTTAGTCAGGAGGAGTAATATCACAGGATCGAAACCCTTGCACTGCGACCTTCTGATTCTGGCCAGAGCGACGCGAGGAGGAAGAGGGCCCACAACAGAAATGCAAGCTGGAGTCACGATGCACATTGCTTGGCAGGCGAGGATTCATGCTTCCAAGTTCGGTGTCCGTGTCGTTGAGTCTCGTTTGTGTTGTGTTTAGGGTCCAGGGGTTTTTTGCGTATCGGATAATTGGGCCCGGGGCTGGAACTTGACACATCATCATGCCCAAGGCGAGATGGCATGGAACTACAACACCATCTTCATCGTCGCAGCCCGGCTAGTTTTGCACCGAAACGGAAACCTCTTTTGACGGAGCAAGAGGTGCAGAGGCGCTCGGCGTGTGCTTGCTTCGAAGAGCCCGCTTTCCCGGAGCAATCGCAGTAAAAGGCACGGACCGCCACCAAGCACCGGCCAGGGAATTCCACTGCTTATCCATGCATGAGGCGTTTGGTTTTAAAGAGTTACAGTTTAAACAGCCCAGATGGTCGTTCCCCACTTGCTGGCTTGCTATATGCCGCTTGTGCTATGCATAGTTCTGAGAGAACTCAATAGCGCATCCGGCAGCCTTGACCTTAGAGGGTGAGCAACCCCTGTGTGGTGGACTTCTTTGGGTCTTGGCTATCAGGCTCTACGGCTGAACCTTGCATTCGTGCCGGGACAAACCTCAACCTCAATTCGGGGGATTCCGGATCTTGGTGTCCTTGACTTTGCTCGGAAAGATAGTCCAGGATCTGACATTAGGATAGGTTGCCTACTTTTCGCTGCTGACACATGGCTTGAAGTCCACTGGAACCCCAATTAGGCCAAGTCCTAACCACCAGCATCAAATCTGCAGGTGGCTATTCTCGAGATTTTTGATTATTGGTGATGGAGTTTACAGGTTTAGTGCGTTCCGGAGCCGCAACACAAATCGACAGACTGTTCATCTCTGCACGTGTTGCGTTATGAGGCCCACACGGCTCGGTACAACATCCACTTGCCCAAGAAACCTGACCTGCTGTTTGGGGAATAGGGGTGGCTTTCAATCTAAAGTCGAGACGAGGATGGAATCGTGATGGTCTTCTTGATGTACCGGTTGATCACCTTCTTCCGCCCCTCGGCAATACAAACTTCTGTGGTAGGGGGCAACCGAGAGCTTGAGGTTATTTTGTCAAGGGTCACGGCTTCGACTGCACTATAAAGACCGAAATCCTAACCCCAGGCTTCCCAAGTTGCAGATGTTTTGGGACCCCTCCGTGCCTTTTCATCCCTAAACTTCTCGCTTTGCTCACCGAAACACACAGATCATGCAGCTTCCCTGTTCGTGCATCGTCTTTGCATGGTATCCCTGGAAGCTGATGGGCGGTTAAGAGATAGGCTAAAAGTACAACTTCTTTGGCTGAGTTGTTGATCGCCAAAGCATTCACCGTTGAACTCCAAAGCACTCACCTTGCCCTGGGATCCTTGCAGTAGGAGAAACCTCAAAAACCATTCTGGCGAACCCCAAAGAAGATTTGTAGACCGTAAGCAGACACCGATTTACAGGCCTGTAAGCTATGCAACTCGTTTTCTGGGGTGAGTTTTGTCAAGACATTGGCATTTCCGCCGTATGTACAAACCCCTTCCTGACTTAGCAGAATAACCTATGGTGCAGGGGCGGGCGTCTAGGGTAGATACAAAAGGGTTAAGGTCGGTTTAATGAACGATTCGGGAATTTTCAGGATAGTAGTGCCGACGTGGTCGCCAAAGCTACTAGGGCCAGGAGACTCGACGAAGTGAGGATCCCGGACAGATCCTCAGCCTTTAAACTCACCTGACTCGACTATCTAGAGGATCCTTATTACAAAGACACTTAAATTTGAGTTACACCGAATTCCGCGATTGAAAACGACTGTTCGGTGGTGTAGACGTGGCACAGGGAAGGAAACCCCAGCGGGCGACCCCAGATCAAATATCGCGAGTTTTGAGTTTTTGCGCCTGGATTTAAGTTTGGGGGTCTAGTTCGGAACAACATCTAGAGGCACAGTATTTGCAGAAGGGGCTGCTTTCTACGGCTTGAAAGGAGTGTGTGTATGAACAGTACCATACTGTCAAGGTTTGTGGGGCCGAAAGAGATGAACCCATGATGTGGGTTTAGGGCTGCAAGGGCCAAATAAACCTGAACACCCAAGGATTGAGCCATACCGTCTTCCTCCAATGGCGAGCAGTTGGACAGGCAAGTGCTAGGAGATGGGTCTTCACATGAGCCGCAGAGACTTTGGTGTTGCGGTTTAAGGGAGCTGATGGGAGCTGCGGTTATGAAGAGTTTGGGACCTGCAGTGTCCTACGTGTTGTCTTGCAGCTCGATTTTTTGTGTTTCGCAAAATCTGCTGAATCGGTCAGGTGGTCCAGGTCAGTGTTCGTGCGCACAGGGTCCTGGTGTCAACTGCGCCACTCAGGACCTATCCACCGGACTGGCTAAACGTTATGAAGAGAACCCCCAACCCCCCGGCACAGTTCCGGTTTTGATGCTGCGAGCCCTACCCCGCAAACTTACTGGAAACCCTCTCAGCTCCGTCGGCAAAGCCCGACACCCTAAACCGCAAACCCTGCACCCTAAGCACCGACATGCCAAATTCACAGCCGTGCACTCAAGGCCCTGCTTCACTGTACAGGGGTCGGAGTCGGAATGACTAGCAATAGCATCTTAGTATCCCTTCATAATCTTTGTAGAGCTATACTACATCATACCTCCCCCCCCCCCACAACCCTGTTTTAACTTTTTGAGACATTGTATACCCTAAGCCCTAAGCCCTAAACCCTAAAGGCCTTGAAGATGTTCGTCTTCTTCTCCTTGGTGATCTTGCCGGCCTTTGCAGGCTCCTCCGAGCTTAAACGGCAGTTCTTCAGGACAGCTATACGGTTAAGGGTTTAGGTTAAAGAGGTTTAGGGTTTAGGGATAGGGTTTAGGGTCAAGGGGAGGGGTCCAGATGCCAAAAAGTTTCTTCAGGTGGGTTCAAGCGCTTGGAGATCGGGGTCTAAGGTTCCGGGCAGCCATCAGGTCTTGCCCTAAGGGTCCAAGTACCTAATAATCATCATATACTCTCCCAAACAGGAACCTACATAACTACTATCCGAAACCTAAGTACCTGATTGTTGGGTCCTTTGGACCCTTGGGGTTGTGCCGGCTCAGAGAGGTAGTATCAAGCTACCACGTAGGTACAAGAGCGCCACTCGAACTTGGCGATATCGCTTGAAATCTTGTACTCTGCCCATTAAGCGTTTGTCGCCATGTCACGATTGCGCAGAAATCTGAAGCAAGTTGAGCCGAATTGGTGCAGTGTCGGGCGAATCGTTCCGCTTCTAGCGAAAATTAAATGCAGCCTTGCCAAAATCGCAAGAAAGGCATTTACGAGCCCATACCATATAGACAAATACGTCGGAATGGTAGGGCACAGCGAGAGCTGCGGAGGGACGGACGCAGCCCAGGCTTCGTGGTTGTCTCGACCATGCTGTTTGGCCGGTACATCCTCGGCGACCGCCTCAGATTCGGTTGGAAGAGCCTCACACACGCCCCAAACCTTTCCAAAAAAGGGTGCAGGAGGCCAGGTACCATGAGAGCCGATCTTGTGTCAGAGATGCGCGGCCCCCAGCCCTAAACCCTAAACCCCTACAAATACCCTAAACGCCTGAACCCGAAACCAGGCTTCTCCAGCCTGGGCTACTCTGCCGTCTCCTCCATGAACCAGAGCTGCAACACACAGTAATTCAGATATGGTTTGATGGTTTTAGTTCATTTGTGGTTTCAGTTTGGTGTTTCGGGTTCTGGGGTTCAATGGTTTGGATAGGTTTCTGGGTGTGAGGCTCTAAAAAAGGGCTGAGGGTAGTAGCAGCGTAATAACAAAGAAGAGTCACAGCCTTTTTGAGATCGCAATCACCACCGCGACCATCATCCCCAGCCACTAAACCCTTTTGCCGTCGGAAACATATCATTCAACCGCAGTTTCACATTGGTCCAGACTTCAAGTGCTTCTTGATGGCAGAGCTGTCTGGTCGCTCGACGTTCGTGGCCATGCTTCCTCCGTACGAAGTCCTGGGACCTTGGAAAGTCTGCTCACTGTTGCCTAGCTACAGTCTCCATTGCAGTTGTTTTGCATGGGTTACCTTAGAGGATCCTATATATAGGACTTTGATTGAGCCAAAAGACGGCACTACGATGGAGACATATGGAGACTATAGATAGTACGCCAATCCCCTGCACTGCAACAATCCCTGAGGGTCCTAAACCCTACCTGTAGTCTCCGTGGTAGTGCCTTTTTGGGGTTACCTTATAGGATCCTTGATATATAATTGGTTAAACCAAAAAAAAGGAACTCCAATGGAGACTATAGGTAACCACTAACACCCTAAACCCTGAACTCTCCCAAATAGTAACCTACATAACTACTAGCCGAAGCTTAAGTACCTGATTATTGGGTCCTTTGGACCCTTGGGGGTTGCTAAATCCTAAACCCTAATCCCTAAACCCTAAGTGCCTGATTATTGGGTCCTTTGGACCTTTGGGGTAAACTCCAAAGCCTGACCGCGAGCTTTGACCGGCCAAGGAAACTTGTGGCGGGCAACCTCAGTCCGCAGGTTCTCGAACGAGATGTGGCAACCTGGCTGGTAGGGATGGTGTTTTGGGGTTTTAGGGTTTTAGGGTTTTAGGGTTTAGGGTGGCTACGGCTCAAGTTTGGCTACGAGGCCCTA